TAGCTCCACCACAAATGGAACTCAAGTTCTGCTTGTCGTATTAAAAAGCAATTCCTTAACAGCTCTGGTCCACAAATTTCAAACTATTGTGAAATAGGAATGTAACGAACTGATATACTTATTCATAATTTCCGCCTATTTTGTTCGCTGCGTAGTATTTCAATCTGGTATTGACTATAGTATGCGCGATCCTTTGTTTCTCTTCGTGGTCTTATATCAAACAGTCACATAATTGTTTTATGTAATAGGTTATATTCATTACATAATGGGCACGAGAGAACAATGGAAGATGTATATAAACTCTGTCAAAAAGAAACGCAACCCCTGTCCTCAGATTGTGTGAAAATGCCACGATTGAGTGCTGCCGACCGAAATATCGCCATTGGTCGTGTTCAAGCCGGAGAAAGTTTTGGAACTGTTGCACGGCACCTAAATGTTCACAAAACAACGATATCCCGACTTTGGAGCCGCTACAACAACTTCAATTTGACCAACGATCGCCCGAGAAGTGGAAGGCCAAGAATCACGACCCCCCTTCAAGATCGGTACATCCGGGTCCATCACCTGCGTAATCGGCATGCCCTACCAACCGTGACTGCCACACAAATACCAGGTTTGAGGAGAGTGTCAGCTCAAACGATTAGGAACCGTCTGAAAGAAGCGGGTTTACGTGCCTGTAGACCAGTTGTTGGACCTGTACTACGCCCCCTACATCGACGCCGACGACTCAGGTGGTGCAACAACGTAAGGATATGGACTTTACAAAACTGGAGGCGCATCTGGTTTTCTGATGAATCCCGTTTTCTTTTGCAACATCACGACGGAAGAAAACGTGTGTTAAATGATAAAATGCTGTGTCGTCTTAAAACTGTCAAAATCTCTTACGTTTCTTTTTGATTTATTTACATAGACTGATGCGACCGCCTCCGTGGTGTAGTGGTTAGAGCGTCCGCCCGGAGAGCGGAAGGTCGCGGGTTCGATCCCCGACGCGTCATACCATAGTAAATTTTAGTACTTGTTGGTTCCTGCCTGGCGCTCGGCATTAATGGGTACAACAAGGACTGGTCGGCTCGGAGTCAGTATAATGTGTTTGAGTGGGGTATTCATGCTTCACTGCGGCATGGTATCTCAGTGGGCTAGAACTATAAAACCAGCTTAAGTCTGGGCTAGTACAAGCAGCCGCACATACACATTCACACGCATGCACGTCGTCATATGAGCGAAATATTCTCAAGCATGACGTTAAACCCAATTTCACTTCACCTCACACAGAGTGATGCAAATGTTATGCTGAAAACAACATAAAATGTAATGATTCGTTGGCTGAACGTCTAAAATCCTCATTAAAACAGCGTGTACCTAGTGAGAGAAGACAGAGCGGTGAGCCCTAAAACGGGATAGAATAGCAATCGACTTGTTCGGGACCTGTCGTAGACGTCGTTCCATTTCAGATTGCCTTAAACAGTGACAAGCTATGTTCTCCCATGAATTCTTATACCAATAGATATGGCGACATTTACACCCCCCAAACCGAAGACGTTGAGTAGCGCAAGCGTCGCTTAATTGTTCTCTTAAAACGCCAGTGGACTCTTGAGCGATCTGTGAGCAGTATGGTTTATCCCAGTTTCTGACAGAGAACCACTACCTACATGTTGTCTAAGTATACTTAATCTACAGGAGGTGTATATTGCTAAAAAAAATTAAACTGTCCTTCAATATATATCCCAAAGAAAAGTGTTGGTTACCACGTGTGTGTGCTCGTCTGACGGCATTCCTTGTATGTGATTCCTTCATTCGAGATGTCTTTGTGAATGTAACTTCCCATGGCAAGAATGACAATACACATGCATATAAACGGTGATGCCTGAAAAGTATCGATCATTTGGCGTATGGACAATGATGCGTTATTCCACAGACCTTTTAAAATAAAAGTGAGTGAAAGTGGATGAGTCAGGTGGCTGAGGAGGACGATCGCACGCCTTGAACACTCTGTGAACAGAATGCTATCTCAAGCTCAGATGCTGTTACACCAAGGTAGCCGTGCGCACACTGTAACGTGGATGCAAACGTGGAACTGGGCGTATCGTCGGACGTTTGGGCCGGACGGTGTGATGGTCCTGGTGTGATCCCTCAACCGATTTTGTCACTAATTAGTCTCATCACAGGAATCAGTTTGGTATCGATCGCGGATGTAACCACCTATTTAGTAGTGCAAAGCTGCGTTCCTTCGGCGTACAAGAAAGCATATGACCTATTTCAATTCAGGCTGTTCCTGAATCCCATTCATCATGAATGAACGTGGTTTCATCAAACGCCAAACCATCTCACGTCACGCTGTGACGCCAGGATATGACTTAAATGCCGTATCAAACTGAACCACACCTAATCACAGTTTCACAATTTCCGAATGATGCATTGACAATGCTAAACCAATTCAAATTGTTAAAGAAATGTAAGAGACATAAAACATTCAATGTTTTATTTCAACAAACACATCACATATACAACGAAACAATATTCAGCAAATGTTTAAACAAAACGATAACAATCGCGATGTCTCCAAAGTTATAATAGCTCTCAGTCATTTTAAAAGTTTAAAACTTTACCACGAATAGGCAAAAAATACATTCCCTCGATCGCGGACATCACGAGAATTTGGGTGCGATGGTCGCGTTTCTGAAACTTTTGTATATGCATTAATGTTCAAATGTTGCGACTGAGAGAACCTTACTTATAAAAATCATGATTACGTTTTATCACATAATAATTAAATCCTAACAACGGATTCCCACCGGAAACAAAAAGGGAATAGAAAAGTGGATACAAAAATTGTTTGTCTTTTGTAATCTATACTTTCCGTGTTGTAACTGATAGTTTTCAATTTCAAGTGGACGAGAGAGAATTGTATAATCAAATTCGTCGCATAAAAACTGTTATATACAAATGTATTTTTAAAAACAGTGTCACATACCACTTTTATGTTGGCATCATAATTGAAACGAGTAAATTCAAACACGATGCAATAAAAAGGGTAATTGTTATTTTATGTAATTGATAAAGGACATCAACACTGTAGCAAGTTTCACTAACATATGGAGCAAATTTGACACCAATGGCACGTTTCACAACCGGTGAAAACAATAAACATTTTTTAAACAATCTTTTGAAAATATCAAACTCTCTATTGATACACTCCCACGTAGTCATCAAGTTGACAATACGCATTGTTCTGTGTTTGAGTATCAACTACTATTCGAAGCGAGGACAACGAATTAATAATACCATAGCAAACGATTTAGCAAGTGCCATCACGGCTGGAGAACAATCCTTCAAAACGTGACAGTGTGTGGATAACAACAGGATTTGTATGATGCACCCTGTCCTAGAACAGGAAATTAAATCAGGTCTCGTTTTCCGCCCCTCACAGTCAGGGTAAACTAACTGATCGTTAATGGGAGATTTCTCCAGAGAACCGGTCTTGCGTATCACACTCGAACTTATGAAATCAACACGGTGAATCTATCTTAACGTAAGCAACATTCAATCAACAAAACAACACAAAAATGTAGTTTTTATATTCACATTGAAGATTCAATGTCTACGTAAACACACAATTACCAGAATCATACAAACTACACATTAGCAAAACAATGGCAATATTAATATCGGCCTTTGTTCAGAATGATAAAATGGTGGTCACCATTCTATGCCATATATTCTACAAATGAGTAGTTAAATGTCATAAATCCATTCAAATTACACAGCTTATCATGCTATATATAGTTAAAACCATACACGTTAATAGGTTGTCAATGTTTCAAACGATGACTCAAAATATTCACAGTCATGAACTTGAATTTCATGCACTTACTGTAAACATGTACATATATACATGTATAGATTTATAACAAAATATACTATTGACATGTATAACAATACGATCTATCAGCCTCTAAGCTTTGAAATGTACACCAACAACAGTTTTCCTGATTCCATTTTTTTCAAATAACCACTATTCACATGACATTGTTAAAAACAAAAACAAATCCCAAAGTCCAAAGAAATCTTTACTGAAAGTTATATCCAGAGTTCAAATACGACTACACCATGATTTCTGAATACCTTGTGTTCGAGAACAGGCGAGCTCCCGTCACAAACACATGCACAGGCAAGTCAATTGTTCATTTGTACAAATAGAATCCGTGAGTATACGGTTAAAACAGGAAACTGCATCGGACATACTAGTCTTGGTCACTCAAGCGTCAAATTTCGAAAAGCCATCTAAATGCCTATCATAAACCTTTGAAGGGCTGGAATGCAAAACCCTGAAAAAACGTTTGTGCCAAAAAGATGCTCTTTGGAATCTTTTCTTTCTTCGAACGAGCATCATCCAATGTACCTCACACTTTGTGAGACGTGGACATGAAAGAATGGAGCTCTTGGGACATGTTAGGAATATAGCACACACACACACACACACACACACACACACACACACACACACACACACACACACACACACACACACACACACACACACACACACACACACACACACACACACACACTTGTCAGACGGTCTTGTGAAGTATTCTTTGTAATACTGAATCTCATAGACCTATATATAAAAAAGAGAAAACTGTTCCATTGATCTTCTTATTCGGTAGGAAGGGGTTTGTTATTGAATCATTAACATAGATATAGATATATCTAAAAATGAGGTCAAAATACTTGCCCAGCTTCATTTTCTTTTTTGTTTCTTTGCCAACTAAGCAGTGAGTGAGTGAGTTAAGTTTTAAGCCGCACTCAGCAATATTCCAGCTATATGGCAGCGGTCTGTAAACAATAGAGTCTGGACCAGACAATCCAGTGATCACAATAATTGGCATCGATCGATCTATTGGGAACCGATGACATGTGTCAACCAAGTCAGCGAGCCTGACCTGCCGATCCCGTTAGTAGCCTCTTACGACAAAAGCAAGCATGGGTTACTGCAGATCAATATTCTAACCCGGATCTTCACGGGTTGCCAACCCAAGCAGAAATTCCTATTCATATGCACCAATAAACAGATCAGCAAGAAGTGAGCGCAACTGGTGTCTATGGGAACGTCTGTCTCTTGCCTAAACGTCAAAAGAAAATTGAACATACGGTTTCATACATTTTGTTTAAAGTAGCAAATTTTCTTATTATAATTTAAACAATGACATTTAAATGATCAAAGCTGCATGTAAATCATACAAGAATCACTATAGCCACCATATAAAACATCATTAATCCATACACAACACAGACCTGGCTGCATGGACAGCATAGAATTATGATTTATTGCCCGATCAGCCACAGAATGATGAGATCTTTTTTAGGTATTATCTTGAGCCTTTTGAACCCACAATTTCGTAAACCGTTTGTATGTCCATAAGGTGAAGAATACGACGTGATGTTGTGATTGGACACTGGGCTACACTGTCTGCGTAGAGTTGTACTCCTTTCCTGTGCAGGATTCGCTTTTGGTTAATTCATGGCGTATACGTCAGGTATCCAAACACAATGTAAGTCATTAGCCCAAGAAATACACGAGACATATACGATATATTCATTGTCATACAAAAATACCGTTATTACCTACTGAATCAGTTATGAAGAACTGACTACAACATTTCGGGTGTGGTTAAAAGTACTTGTCTTGGTGTATCATGTATCAGTCTGGAATCGACTCTTGCCAGTGTGCGTTGTCAGATCAACAACAAGCCCTTTTTATTCATCAGCCACATTTTCTCCGACAAAACTCACTGAAGAAAATGAGAAACAGGATTCCAAATATGTTTATGAAAACGTTACTTGATTTTTAGGCCTATTGTGTGAATAGCGGAAGCTACTTGTAGGGAGGGACATACTTACTCTTTTCGCGAACACCTTATTTCATCCTATTTTCAGTGGTCCATTCATTAAAAAGGATAGTCAAGACTGGATATTCTTCTGCACTGACGTTATGATATTAGTAGCAATTGACCTAAAACACGTTTGCTCACGATCAATATAAACAGCCATATACACATGAAGATGCTGATCACGTGGTGATGTGTAAACGGCTCCTGTTCTCCTTACCGTATACAAAAGGTATATCTTCAAACACAAACACGTCGTACCTGGTAGCAGGAATGATGAACTGAGGTGTATCGAAAGCTCCAACGCTGATTGCAGTGTTTCCCTATTTGAATTTTAATGTAATCCATGTGGATCAGTATCTACAAACTGGAGCAGCATTGGAGAAAGTGATGAATACAAGGTTACGTTATGGTTATTTTCCAACCATTGCAACATAGCACTTTATCATGTCCCATGGAATCACAGGCGCCATGTCAGATGACCTTGTGCAGTTTCACTGCCCTCTCCTCGCAAGTCACCAAAACCAGCAACATGTTTCAGGTGGTTATGCAGATGTAATACTGTATGGGCCTTTCTGTCTTTAAACCAAGCAACAATCTTCCTCTATCAACATCTCCACCCTCGTAATAAGGGCCACCTTAAGTCACTATAGTATTACCATGGATCGGATGTATCCTGGTCCTTTAAAATACCAAGACACACATTCATTGATGCTGTTCAGATCGTCAACAAAAATGTCAAGATTTAATGAACTCGAACCGTTGACATCTCGTAGGTATCAGACGCAGTGATAGGAGTTCCTCTAGCATAACTGGTTGAATATTCCGATCTAGTACTGGCTGTTGAATACATAAAGCTTCTCTTCGTGGCTTCTGTCTGCATGGGACAAAGCTTCAGACCCCGAACACACTGCCAGTTGGCGTTGAAGAGCAGGAACACAAAAGGATTGGCGCAGGAGTTGGCAGCTGCGATGCCTCCAAGAATTCCGTATATATTTTCTTCCAAAATTTTGAAGTTGCCATAGGACATTATCATCTCTGCAACAAAATATGGCAACCCGCAGATGATGTAAGCAGCGACTATTACGACTGTCATTTTCAGAGTTTTGATCTTTGCTTTTGGGAGAGATGTGTTTCCGGTACTGGTAAGGTGGATTTTGCCAGGTTTAAAACTTTGTCGTCGTGATGTCTTGTTTTCAGAGGCCTTTTGAGCAATTTTTGTGAAGATTCGTACATAGCAGACGACCAAGATGATGAGAGGTAGCAGAAATACGACAATGGCAGCGTACGTTATGAAGGCTTGTCTATGCCACGGAGCCTTGCCTCGGAAAATATTTTCGCATTTCATCATATTTTCATGCTCGTTGAATTTCAGGTGAAAGACAAACATCATAGGAACGGACAGAACCGCAGCAGCACCCCAGCCCCATCCAGTCATCATCCACACCTGAAATGAGAAAAGACTTTTAATTACTTACACCAAGGCAAACTGAGTGAGTTAAAACTTTACATCTCATAGGCAATATTACAGCCATATTCCAATTCAAGGAGAACTGACTGCTCTTAGTTTCGTGTGCTGATGTGTGAGTGGGTGCGTGGATGTGTTTTGGTTGCATGGGTAAGTGCAGGTGAGGGTGGGTGTGTGAGCAAGCCTGGGTGGGTGAGTGATTGATCACAAAGTGAATAGGGTATTCTGGAAGGAGGATTGGAGAAACATGGTACATCTTTGGTGACATACACGTGCAAGGGTATTGGGGTACAATACATTTTTTAAAAGGGAGCAGAATCTGTGATTCGAACCAACGTTTACAGTACTGAGGCACGGATAACTGAATAGTCCAGAGTCCATTTAGTTTGAAAATAACGTCACAATGATCAAGTTAAACTAAGTTTGATATCCACATACAGCCACGAGTTGTATAATGTCAACCAGATTCTACATGTGGTATATTATTACCGAGAGCTAGCTAGTTTTACCTGACTTTAAATATCGGCATGTCACGTTAAACTTATAAATGTCTAGCTGAGATACCTCGTACTTTAATTTGGACCCGAACGAGAAGATTGCGTGAATGCAAATGTATAGATAAGGTGTCTTATCCTCAGTTAGACTACCTCAACTTTCAAAATAGAGTAGGTTTATCTCCGTTCCTCAATGATAAGTACATGTAAGCTTTGAAAACGGTATTCTTCAGAACTCGTGATCACATGTGGGTAAATTGATCTGCTATATGAGAACCCAGATCGTCACTCAAGTTCATCATAATTGGAAAAAAGGTATTGAAATTACAAAGTGATCAGGTAACCTTCAACAAATACATAGTTGTATCCAAGCAGGTTGCGATGAAATGATCTTGGAATTCTATCCAACATGCTATCTATAGGACAAATTGCTAAATACAATTCTGAAATTGATCAAATAACAGGATTAAAGTTATTTGTGTGTTTTACGTTTAAAGCAGTTGTTTTAAAATAGCTCCCCTGTACACAGAACTTAGACATGGTTATATTTGAGTCACTTCATTTGGTTCTGGAAAGCGGCAGTTCTATTTACACATGTTCAATAAAACGTGTTGATTTGATGGTGGATATGAGCCTACTGGAACAACTACTGTCATCGCAAACAAAGCTATATTTAGTTAAGGACAATTCGGCCCTAGAGACAGGAGACTGTCCATTTTTAAGACAGTGGTTGGTGTATATTTTCCGTAATGGCATGTGTTCTGAAATAGATTTGATATGTTTAATGTCTGATGTTGTGATTATGTGTACATCAGTGAGTGACAAAACACAGGATAATATTCGATATCGAAGGTACATGTATATACAGTTGCTTTCGGCTGTCAGGGAGAAAACCCGTTATATGCAGTGATGTGTATGTGTGATGTGTTTTTAAGACATGTTATGTGATGTGTTAAGACGCATGTTATGAGATGCGTTCAGAAGACGCACGTTGTGGGATGCGCAAGGTCTCTGTAATATGATGTGTTAAGACTCCAGTTGTTGTGTGGTGTGCTAAGACGCAAGTTGTTGTGTGATGTGTTATGAAGCAACTTGTTGTGTGATGTGTTATGACGCAACGTTGTTGTGTGATGTGTTATGACGCAACTTGTTGTGTGATGTGTTATGACTTGTTGTGTGATGTGTTATGACGCAACTTGTTGTGTGATGTGTTATGATGCAACTTGTTGTGTGATGTGTTAAGACGGTGTTGTGTGGTGTGCTAAGACGCAAGTTGTTGTGTGATGTGTTATGAAGCAACTTGTTGTGTGATGTGTTATGAAGCAACTTGTTGTGTGATGTGTTATGAAACAAGTTGTTGTGTGATGTGTTATGATGCAACTTGTTGTGTGATGTGTTAAGACGGTGTTGTGTTGTGTGATGTGCTAAGACGCAAGTTGTTGTGTGATGTGTTGTGTGATGTGTTATGATGAAGCAAGTTGTTGTGTGATGTGTGTATGACGCAAGTTGTTGTGTGATGTGTTATGATGACGCAACTTGTTGTTGTGTGATGTGTTATGAAGCAACTTGTTGTGTGATGTGTTATGACGCAAGTTGTTGTGTGATGTGTTATGATGCAACTTGTTGTGTGATGTGTTAAGACAACTTGGTATGTGTGTGTGTGTGTGTTATGAGACGCAAGTTGTTGTGTGTGATGACGATGATGTGTTAAGACAACTTGTTGTGTGATGTGTTATGACGCAATGAACAACAACTTGTGTGTGATGTGTTATGACGCAACTTGTTGTGTGATGTGTTATGACGCAACTTGTTGTGTGATGTGTTATTGTGTGATGTGTTATGAAGCAACTTGTTGTGTGATGTGTTATGAAGCAACTTGTTGTGTGATGTGTTATGAAGCAACTTTGTTGTGTGTGTGTGTGATGTGTTATGAAGCAAGACGCAACTTGTTGTGTGATGTGTTATGAGAAGTTGTGTGATGTGTTATATTGTTGTGTGATGTGTTAAGACGTGTGCTAAGACGCAAGTGTGTGGTGTGCTAAGACGCAAGTTGTTGTGTGATGTGTTATGAAGCAACTTGTTGTGTGATGTGTTATGAAGCAACTTGTTGTGTGATGTGTTATGAAGCAACTTGTTGTGTGATGTGTTATGAAGCAACTTGTTGTGTGATGTGTTATGAAGGACTTGTTGTGTGATGTGTTATGACGCAACTTGTTGTGTGATGTGTTATGAAGCAAGTTGTTGTGTGATGTGTTATGAAGCAACTTGTTGTGTGATGTGTTATGAAGCAACTTGTTGTGTGATGTGTTAAGACGGTGTTGTGTGATGTGTTATGAAGCAAGTTGTTGTGTGATGTGTTATGAAGCAACTTGTTGTTGTGTGATGTGTTAAGACGGTGTTGTGTGAAACTATTAGTTAAGTTTAATTTTCCCCTATTACTCCTTCAAGTACTCCTGCTGATATTGCTCATTTCAGTTCCGTTATCTGACTGTCAATTATACGTATTATTTCTACTGTATAACTATACGTTATGCTATATATGCCTTCTACTACTGACGTTCACATAACTGGTACTACAATGATACGGAACTGGGGCTCCTTTCACGAAGCAACCTTTACTAAGTTTCACCTTAACTCCCATTCTTTAACATTGCGCTAATGTTACCTGAGTGACTTACAATCACCTAAGTGTTTAGTGAAGGGAGACACAGGTCTGTAAACATCATTAATTGTAATGTACGCTTAAGTTAAAACATATACAAAGAGTACCTGAGGTAGCTAAGTTGAAAGTAAAGAAGATAGTGGAACTTACTTTGCAGGGTTCTCTTAGAGGTGCCCGTATTGCTTGATGTCTGTCCAATGCTATGATCACAAGCATGTTGGCTGAAGCAAACAAAGCAAAGCTTTGCATGAATTTGACAAGTCTGCACATAACTTCACCTGCCATCCACTCTCGCTCAACGTACTCCCATACGAGTTGGGGAAGCAGCGCAAAGAAGACAACACACAAGTCGCTCACGCATAGGTTCAGAATCAGGGCGTTCACTCGGGACCTTTGTCGTCGGTTGTACCACATCCACAGGATAACGAGGAACCCCCCTATAGCCCCGAGGATGATCTGCAGGAAGAGAACGATACGGCGGATTTTGAAGTCGTACGTGATGTCGTGGACGCTGTGCACGTATCCAGGAGTGGTTGTGTCATTGACAGATGACGTGTAGTTGGTAGTGTTGCTGACCACAATGGTCGAGCTGTTGGAAGGTTCCATTGAGAACTGTTGAATCGAGTTGTGTCCCCTTGTGATCAAATCAACGCTGATCGCCGTCGATGTCATGTCGGTTTATTGATGTCTCTGTAAGACAAAAAAATTTGGTTTCTAAATCATGGAACTCAAAATTTACGCTCGGATGGGATACAGTTCTAGTTAATTGCTCGGTTTGTGACCAGTGAGTACATTGTACTCCAGGGCTGGTGATACAAGAAGCTGACTTCAGTCGTTATTGTGTGAATCGAACCCGGGCCTTCTTCGTGACGAGCAGACGCTTTTCATCCTCTAGGCTGCCTCATAAGTCCAAATGAAAAGACACACTAAAGAGGTGTATGGATATAATTTCAAACGTCCAAATGTTCAGTGCACACCATTACATCACTCAATATTTAGGACCGCCTCTATGGTGTAGTGGTTAGAGCGTCCGCCCGGAGAGCGGAAGGTCGCGGGTTCGATCCCCGACTGCGTCATAGCAAAAGACGTTAAAATATGGTACTTGTTGGTCCCTGTCTGGGGCTCGGCATTAATGGGTACAACAAGGAAGTCAGTATAATGTGTCTGAGTGGGTTATTCATGCTTCACTGCGGCATGGTATCTCAGTGGGCTAGCACTATAAAACCAGCTTAAGTCTGGGCTAGTACAAGCAGCCGCACATACACATACATACGCATGCACGTCGTCATATGAGCGAAATATTCTCAAGCACGACGATAAACCCAATTTCACCTCACCTCACCTCAATATTTAGAACACATTGAATAACAAACAGCGTTCCGATGTCCAAAAAGGGTTGTCAGTACAAAAATAAATATAAATATTGATATTGTTCAGTTTCGTTTTCTGAAGTGTATGTTTTACTTATAAAATAGTTTGCAATGGTCTTCAGGTTGTCCATGCTTGTAGCAATAATTAACAAGGTCGCGTGGTCAGGGTCGCTCATCTCATCCCAGTTGTGTAGATCGCTTATAATGACAATCACTGGGTTGTCTGATCCGGATTGGATTATTTACAAAATGCCGTCATATTGTAGGATTGCGGCGTTAGACAACTAACAATATATAATGCTGTAACAATCAAACGCTGTCGTCTACATGTCCTTAATCCAATAACTAACAGTATCCCATCAATAGGCAATCTTTGAGAGCCAGACAACGAACGATGAACCCCCTCGTGAGCCGGTAACAGTAAGATGATAATTATAACCAGCAGGATGAATCGTTTGGACCTCTCTATGATGTTAACCAGATTACAGTGATAAACTATCGATTTAGCCCCGGGTGAAATGTGACCCGGTCTCATGGAACGTCCATTACATCATTGTATTTACATGGAGATTTGCTAAAGGAATCGTGTTGCTTCCAGTAACACATCGGATGACCTTTCATGCGCGTCGCTGCCTATCGTAGGTTTATGATGATTTGAACTGCGTAAGGTTGGAAAGATAGAGCCAAAACGGGCTGACTGGTGTGTTTGGTTCCTTTGCTTACAAAGCTATTGCAGCTATTAACTTTCTAAATCAATGCATTAAACAAATTGACTATCTGATGTCATTTATTCGGTTGCGAAGCCCTAACATATAATTGTCGTGACAATTATCAGACCTATAGAAGTTGCCGACAACTGTCCTTCTTATTCTTTCTTATCGATTTTTTATAACTATTGCATAAGAAAAAACGGGTTAAAAACGGGAATTGCATTAAATTAATCTGAAAATGATCACATCCGTTACCAAATTGAATTACGTGACCATATGCTAAAGTCATTACTGGCCTCGAGCAAGTGATCTTGTTCGCAGTATGCCTTGGTTTAATGAGCTGAATGACATGGTGAAACAAACGGTTCGAACAGACGGTTCTATGTGTATTCCCCCAACAAAGTCAAGGAAGCAGATGAATGCACAACTGATCAGTTCATCATCTTTGCGTGTACGCGGAGATATGAAAATGCATGATTTTTCTTATAAATGTACCAGGGAAAGGTCATAGAAATATAATACATGCGTATCAAAGACATATCAGACACGTGTGCCCTGAAGACGATGACATAAAAGCAATATCCGGAACACCACATTGTACACAGTGAGGAATCGAATCCTCTGGCAACACCTTAACCCCAGGCTTTCCAATCGTCTTAATATCGAATGAAAGCAACGCATGCCAATATAATTCATGAAATATAAGTTAAATGTGTCAATTAATCATTATTGGATATGTATTAATGATATTCACATTTATAATTAATGCACGTTGTGTTATGTTCTTCAGTCATATAGCCAGAATGAGAAGTGAGTTAGTGAGTATGAGTTTACGCCGCTTTTAGCAATATTCGAGCAAATTCCCGACAGGGGGACACCAGAAATTGGGTTCACACATTGTAGGGGAATCGAACCCGGGTCTTTGGCGTGACGAGAGAACGTATAAACCACTTGGCTAGCCCACCGCCTTGCCAGATTGAGGAATGAGTGATTCAGAGATATTCAGCAGAAATCAAAGTGAATACGATATGTTATGTATATAGTGAGTGAGTGAGTGAGTTTAGTTTTACGCAGCAATATTCCAGCTATATGGCGGCAGTCTGTTAACAATCGAGTCTGGACCAGACAATCCAGTGATCAACATCATGAGCATCGATCTGCGCAATTGGGAACCGATGACATGTGTCAACCAAGTCAGTGAGCCTGACCAAACGATCCTGTTAGTCGCCTCTTACGATAAGCATGGGTTACCGAAGGCCAATATTGTAACCCGGACCTTCACGGGTACCTTATGTATAGAGCATCACCAACGTCGGTGACATATACCACTAGGACGTCATAAGTGTTTCAACAACGTCATACCAACGGATAAAACATTGACACGTGACTCAAGATATCGTATTAATGTCACGCATGAGCTTTTTATATATAGTATGTGTAACTAGAATCTCTTCCGTCGCTAAGTAGCATGGCAGCAAAAACAAGATCATATAATATTCAGTACTTCTTAATCACAAAATAAATGTCTATCCAGGGCAGATACGTCAGGTATTGTATATTGTTACATGAGTTCAGATGGTTCAGATGCTCACTTAAAGAGTGTCCGCCCACGTAAATACGCCACAGAAATTAGCCTCATTGACATTATGAAAATATAGACTTTTTTGCTCGTGTGTGTCATGAAAAGCCACAATTGCAAATTGCTATAATACTAGGTTGAATCGAGATGTGGTTTGTCACATTATGGCCCTTACTACAATGGTAGAATAATTCTTTATAAGGTGTGAAATTTTGAAAGTGACCAGTTCAGCCAATATCATTTGTCACCTAACGCTATTACGTTATTCTATTTCTGAAAAAAGACTGTCTTTACTCATTTTTATAATTTTTGCCTTCAAAATAACATGAGAATATAACCTTGCGATTAAACCACAGCTCGATTCCCAACGTGGTGCAATGTGTACATGAATCGTGCTGTCCCCATCGTAATTTGTCTCATATAACTCTAAAAGCCGTCTAAAGCCCACTCAAGGTTTATGAATTCACCGATTCACTCACTCACTCACTCCTTCTCACCCTCTCCATCACTTACTCAAAACGATGCATGACACGTAGAAATTATTTTCTTGAACATAAATATTCCATTATCCTTACACAGCGTCAGGCACGATGTTCTATAGCCCCAGATACCCACAGACAATAACGTTTAGCTGACGTTCTGCTTAAGTGTCACAATAGGGGTTATTGCGGAGACTGTTTATCTTGGTTTCATCGGCTTTTATTAGAAAAAATAAATGAAAGCTTATGGATTCTGTCTGCTTTTGAAATATGTTATGCCGTTGCAATTGCAATACAAATGTGCAAAATTTGGCTGTGAACACATCACAATGCGCAAGGGATCGGCTTTATGACATCCACATCCTCATAAAATTCCTGATATTTGCTGTTCTGTGAAGATACTGTGATTTAATGCAAACACCACTCAATCATGTGATAAATGAAACAGCTGTGAATGTGTTCCGATTCCTGATGTAACGCTATTCACATGGGATTATGACACTGGCAACGGTTTACAGATCTGCTGTCGACAACGTCAACGCTAAGTAGAGGTTTTGAAATTATTCCATAGATATTTATTTTCTGATAAATACAAAGACGTGATTTCGCAGTTCCATGAAATAATGCTTGACGCCTAAAGTGCGGGGGAAGCCATCCTCAAACAGCGTCTTTATTCTAAAAATGACCACGGCATCGGCTTAGTAGGGATAAAATTGTGGATAACTGCCCGTAGGGTGTCAATAGCAGTTGTTCAAAGCACGCATAACGACATCGAATCATGATTGTCAGACAAGATTTGATCATGCCATCTTTGTGTTAAAGGTGGTCAGACCCCATAGCGTGGAACATCACCGCAGATTCACATGGAATGAAGTAGGATGGTCTGTGTTTGGTCGTCATTTTACTCCCCAATCTGCATCCTTTAAGTTCTTATCAATGTAAATAAGAGACCAGACAAAATTATCAGCGACGCTCCAGCGTAGGGAGGAAAATCACAACAGAGTCAAATGAAAATGAATGGGATCGAATTGGTTTGTTCATTGTTTTACCCTCTTATCTGCAATATTGAATTTCAAATCAGTATAAATAAGCGACCGTGAAAATATCACTGGCTAAAATTGTTGCCATGGCGTTGTATGCTCCCCAGGGAGTTGAGATTGACAATACGATGTGCCGTTGAGATTGACATCCAGTGAACGAGGGAAAAACAAAGCGCTTTTGAGCAGCTGAGCTGAGCTGGATATCGGCGCTATACAAATGTTAGTATGTATGTATGTATGTATGTATGTATGTATGTATGTGTGTATGTTAGGATTGAAATCAGAACAGTCACGTTGGTTCACTGTGTATTCGTAGTTTTATGCCTAATTCGAAACATTCAAGCTATTATCGGTGTAAGTAAGCGACCAGACAAAGAAGTGTTTGATATTATCAGTAACACCACAGCGTAGGGAAAGAAAATCTCAACACTCACAAGAATTGGAATTGCATGGTCACATGAAATGTAAATGGATGTCCGTTCGATGAGCAGTTGTATGATTGTCCAAACGGG